AAATTTTGACCTGAAGACATAGAAGTTTCCGACAGACAATCCGTTGTGAGGATGACCAAATCGAATCTCTTATTAAATATAATTAAGTTACACAATAAAGAATATCAAAGAAATGCTCTACGTATCTCATGCGAATCTTGTTAATCATATGAAAACACATGGATGCAGGATTCGCTATGATATTTTGGTGTCTCACGAAAAGAACTAATATTCGACAGCATTTTCATCTGAAATTTTCTTTTCAAACACAACAAAAAAGATCGTGTTTTGAAAAGATAATCCCCGTTCACATGAGATATGTGGAGTTTCTCTGCGATATTTCGTATCGTGTGACCCGGGCGATTAAAAATTGATCATTTATCATAATGTGAAGGAGAAAAGATTCTGAGGAAAACGAAATCGAAGGGAGCAATGTTCTAGGAGAATGGAATCATGACGCTGTCTCAAAGATGGCAGAATATACAGTGCGTTCTGCTTGATTATGCAAAGTTATTTTTTACCTAAAAATATCCAAGTTAAGCAATATATTCTGAAGAATAAAAGCTAAAGTGTTGTTGATACTATTTTATTATTTTTCATTCATTTAAGTTGTCGAAATATACAAAACGTGCTTCTTTTTAATGATTTATGATCTTAAGCCCTAATTTAGTGTTCACTTTCATTATGCAAATGGAAAATAAAACAAGAAAAACACATTTCATACTAAATTTTATTAATTGAATTGTGGCGCATATGACAATACATCATATGTTCTAAGTCCTACATTACATAATACATATGTATAGCATGTTAAACAAAACAAAACAGGTCTGTTAATGCGACTACGAACAAACATGACATCCTCCATTCTTCAAAACCGTTATGAGGTGTCTGTCCAATTTCAGAAGGATTGATTGATCGGCAAGCACTTACAATTGCTTTCCACAGGACTTCTAAACTGGTGAATTGCTTGTTTTCCGCATTAATCCGCCTCTTGACTATAGACCACAAATTTTCTATTGGATTTAAATCAGGGCTGTTGGGATGCCATACCATTAAATTTTCCCCTTTGAACCCATGGTCTGATAGCCAATTGGTGGTGATTTTTTTTATCTATGCGCTGGAGCATTATCCTGCTGAAATATCAACGATCTTCTTTTCTGAATTGGTTGTTCATCAAGCCAGGGCAGGAAGGCATCTTCCAAAAGCCTACAATATGCATTTGAATTTAGCTTAAGCCCTTTGGGTACTTTGTGTGGGCCTATTAGTTCATTTCCGCGGATCCCAGCCCAAAACATCACTTCTCCGCCACCCTGTTGTCGACGAATGTGTACTTCTGCTGCTCGACCATTTAACACCTATCCAGATGACCACTCATCAGGCCCATCAAGGGTAGCATGGCACTCATCGGTGAAAATCACATTGCTAAAATTGGTCTTCATATAACTGTGTGCCCATTCAACTCTTTTCATCTTGTTTGCTTTGCTCAATAGGGTCTTCTTGATGAGACTCTTCACTTTGGCAAGGGTGTTGAGGACCTCACAATGGGTAGTTTTACCAACTTTGGGCACTCCAGCGCTTTCAAATACTTTTTACTAGTTTCATGCGGTTTCTTCGAGACTTCATATTTAATTTTACGAAGATCTCTGGCAGTTAACTTTCGCAAATGCGATCGTTTAGGTGTCTTTCTGCATGATTTACTGCCTAAGATGAATGCTTTGATTGTACGGTGGTGTCTATGTAACTTTTTTGAAATTTCTAGCATTGACAGACCACTTCCAAGCATGCGAGTAATTTCAGCATGATCGTTTTCAGTAAGACCCTTTTTCTTACCCATATTAAGGATTTATATGGTGATTGCTTAATCAGACCGAACACTTGAAAAAAAACTATGTTACTATACAACTTTTTTTTCATTGACCATATTTACTTGTCTGAAAGTATAATTTAATCTGTAAGAAGCACCAAGTCTGAAAAAAAAACAGAATTTATTGACACGTTAGATGAAAAATTTACTTTGCATAATCAAGCAGAACGCACTGCGGTGGCTCAAAATAGTACCTATTCTTTTTTCTTTCTTTTTTTTTAATCATTTAACCCCAAGCAAGGCGACAATGCCACTATGAAGCAAAGGATTACTCAGCGTGAAAAACAATGAGAAATCGTTAGGTGAAGGAACGCGAAATTAAATCAATCAGGAAACAAAGGATAAACCTCTACTCCTGTTCAAAAAAACATAAAAGTGAACATTGAAGTCAACACTTAGAGGCGACAGTCTGTTTCATGCTTGATGTATGGCCTAACGATTGCGTCTAGCATGAAACAGCCTGTTCCCTATGTGCTGACTTCAATGTTCACTTTTATATTTACACACGCTCTATCTCTGATATTGAGCACTTTATCCCATAAATAAAGCACGCCTTAAGAGTATCTTTCTTCATATATATATATATATATATATATATATATATATATATACAAATATATGGATATAGATCCGACAGTATGAAGAAAAATATATACGGAAAAAACAAACAAAAATCCATATATACAATTATGCTGTTTTAATGTTAATATGTCAACGTCGGACGTTTCGGTCTAATAAACCATCTTCAGGACATATTCATAAAAAAACATTTTCAATTGAATTGATAATGTTAATTATGTTTTCATGAATATGTCCTGAAGATGGTTTATTAGACCGAAACGTCCGACGTTGACGTATTAACATTAAAACAGCATAATTGTATATAAAATTTTTGTTTGTTTTTTCCGTATATATTTTTCTTCATATATATATATATATATATATATATATATATATATATATATATATATAATAAATATAAAAAAAATCACCTGATATGCGGAATAGCTTATTTCATAAGACGAAGATATCGGTTGCCTGTCTTATCAACCCGTTTTGGACTGAATTTTAGAAGAAATAGACATTTAATTGTGAAAATTAAAAAAATAAAACGACCAGCCGAAAAATTAGTACTTAATTTATCCATTTCAATGTTTCAGTCAGACAAAAGGAAAAGGACACGAGTCAGGGGAATGTGAAGGTATTTTTCTTCAAGGCAAACACTTTTATAAAATTAAACTCATATATTAACCTTATGACATTAATATATTGCTAGGATCCACTTGGATTATATAACAACGGATTTTTTATTTTTAATTTATATATATATATATATATATATATATATATATATATATATATATATATATATATATATATTAATAGAAATCAACACCACTTTGAATGAGTCTTCCGTGAATACAAATTTTTAAAAAATGTGCATAAAAATCATCATTATTAACCTTTAAAAAAGGCTCTTCTAATTAAACTGAATAGAAAATCTGCTACCATTTGTATTCGCCAGGCATAATCTTGACTCTGTAAGTTATGCTTATTATGCTATTCTGTTAGTGAACTGCAAAAGAAAACAACAAATAATTCCAACGAAGGAAAAGAAAGTGAGACCAATGGGGTGATCATTATCTATAAGAAGATAAAACGTTCTAGATTAGTCTGAAGCGTTTATTTCACAGTATTATCCTTAGGAAAGGCATGAATCGATCACTTCTTCCTCTATGGATTAAATAGATTGAGCATTGTAACCTTGGGTGTCATTCAATTTAGGGAAAATATTATTTCTAATTGAAAAACGGAGAGAAACAAAAGTGAAAGAATACTGCTATCTTACTCAAATGTTTATGGCAATTCCCAGATAATAAAGCAAAGGTAATCATTGGAGTGTCATGAACATCTGTAACCCGAATGGACATGACATAGATAGATAGATAGATAGATAGATAGATAGATAGATAGATAGATATAAAAAGACTGGACTAGCTAGCCAGATAGATATGAAAATGCTAAACTAGATAGATAGAGAGATAGATAGACAGATAGATAAGGGCAGAAGAGGTTGAAAACTGAAAACGTAATAGATGATAAATACAGACTGAGAGAGACAAGTATATAAGAGAGTTTTACATAATCATGTTGAAGGCACAAATCTATGCGTAATAAATAGATAGATAGATAGATAGATAGATATGAACAATCTGAGAGAGCGAGAACGTTAAACAGCTAGCCAGATAGATAGATAGATAGATAGATAGATAGATAGATAGATCAACAGACTGGAATAGATAGATAGATAGATATGAACAGACTGGAATAGATAGGTAAATGTTCTACACAACAAGCGAAACAACTTTTTGACCATCCGAAAAGATCAGTCACATGCGACTCATACTTAGGTGATTATGTCTCTTTCAATTCATGCTTAACTCGGAAGAAGTTATTCCCAAAGTAGGTATTCGTTTCTCTCTGCAGTAGATATGTTTCTAACCACGGCTAGAAAACCCAGTCTGTCCTATTATGCATCTCATAGCTATGGGGAGAGGAGATGGGTTTATAACTTTTCTAAGGGTACTTGCGCCTAAATGAAATTAAAGAACCCGATTAGAATTCGAACTTCCGAGCCTTTATCTATAATATCTAAGCAGGTAACCAAACTGAGATAGATAGATAGATATGAACGGAATAATAGATAGATAGATACGTAGATATGAACGGACTAAGATATCTATCTATCTATCTATCTATCTATCTATCTATCTATCTATATATATATATATATATATATATATATATATATATATATATATAGAGAGAGAGAGAGAGAAGAAAGAGATTTGTCTAACTTTTCAAAAAATATAGATACATATATAGGTATATAAATTTTGGGTTGGCCAAAATGTTCGTTTATTTAGTAAATTTTCTATTTAATAATCGAATGAACTTTTTTTTTAATTTTACATACACAAATTGGAAAATGAAAATAGATAGATAGATAGATAGATAGATAGATAGATAGATAGATAGATAGATAGATAGATAGATAGATATTAGGTTGTCAAAACATTCGTTCATTTGTTAAGTACATATTCTACTTAATAAGCCAATGAATATTTTGGCTAACCCAATAGATGGATACACGTTAACAAACTGAAATAGATAGATAAATAGATAGATAGATAGATAGATAGATAGATAGATAGATAGATAGATAGATAGACTGACAAACTGACAGATAGAATGATAGACAGACAGACAAATAAACTGTGATAGATAGATAGATAGATAGATAGATAGATAGATAGATAGATAGATAGATAGGAACCGATTGGGATAGATAGATAGATAGATAGATAGATAGATAGATAGATAGATAGATAGATAGATAACAGTTTGTATTTTTATTGCACTGTTTCTTTAAATCATTTGGTAATCTTTCCCACTTTCTATGCTCTCTCCACACGCTATTCTTCCTGTACACAGACAGAACCTGTCTATTTCATATTTGTCAAAGAAAAATAAAAGATAAACAGATTTCCTTGTTTGGAAAAATGAAAATAGATCGCAAAAATACATCGACAAATTTGAAACGATGCAGGAAAACCACACAAAAAAAAGAACAAGGAACAAAAATGAAATAAAATGAAAAGCGAAATCTCTGAAAACCTCGCTATGAACAGTAAAAACAAAATCTTAACAGCCAAAGTTGTTCAGCAAGGTTAATGCGCGAGGAATTGGGTTCAGAACCTCACTGCTCACAAAGATGGCGAACGTTTCGTGTTTAGTGGGGACCCCAAAGATTAAACGGAAAAAATTTCCCAAAGGCACAGATGCTCGGGACGAGAGGAGGAGGTGGGATGAGTTAAATTGTAACAATGTAACATGATGTGTTGTTTGTTTGATTTTTTTTAAAGAATATAGATGAGAAATATTTAAAAACGAATAAAAACTAATGAAGAGGAAAGATCCAAATCTATGTTGATGAAAACAATTGAAAGGCAACGGAGACATTCGTGAACCTGTCGATAATCTTTGTCCTGTATTTACGAGGGAAATTTAATGTGGCATTGAACGTGGAAATGAACGGGAATCACTTCACGAGCGAAAGAAGAAAAAGTAAAAATAATGAAGGCGGTGAAAGAGGCGAATTAAAAAAAAATAAGCAAACAGCGATTCGAAAAAAATGTGAAAAAAGAAAAAGAAAGAAAGAAATGATGAATTATTGTATGAAAAAAAGAAAGAATGAATGAAAGAAAGAAAGAAAGAAAGAGTGAAATGAAGGAAGAAATAATGAGAAAATGAAAGAAACAAAGAGAGAAAGAATATAATGATGAATGAAATAAAGAAATGATTAAATGAAAAATTAATGATTGAATAAAAGATAGAATGTAGGAAAGAATGAAAGATGCCAAGAATGAGAGAAAGAAAGAATGAAATAGATAAATAATGAAAAAAAAGAATGAAAAAAGAAAGAGAGAAAGAGAAAAGGAATGAAAGAAATGATTGAATTACATAAATAATGATTGAATGAAAAAATAATGAATGAAATAATGAAAAATAGCATGAATGAAATAATAAGTATTGAAATATCTGAAGATAGAAAGAAAAAATGAACGAAAAAGAAAACAAATTATTGAAAGACAAAAATGAATGAATGAATGAATGAAAAACAGCATGAATGAAAAAAAAGAAATGATTGAATGACAGGAATAATCGAATTAATTAAAGAATGAAAATAAAATGAATGAAAGAAAGGAATGATTGAATGACAGGAATAATGATTGAATGAATGAAAGAATGAAAAATAGCATGAATGAAAAAAATAAATGAATGAAAAAGAAAGGATGAAAGAATGAATGAAAGAGAGAAAGAATAAATAGAAGAAAGAAATTAGTTGAAACTAAAGTAGAATACTGATTATAACTAATAATAATAGAAAGAAAGAAAAAGAATAAAAAAAAATTAAAAACTCAAGAAAGAAAGCAAAAAGGAAAGACAAATGTTTTAATCTAAAATCAGAAAAGAAACAAAAAAGAATAGAAAATAATATGAAAACAAAAACAAAAATTAAAGAAAAAAAAACGGAAAAATCAAAAGATGAACTACAAAGAAAGAGAGAAAGAAAAATGTTGTATTAAGTTAGAAGCAAAATCAGAAAAGGAAAGAAAGAAAGGAAGCCAAAGAATATATTGGGAAATTAAAGCAAAAAAGAAATAAATAACGAATGAATACAAGAAAGAATGATACTAGGAAGTAAACAGTACAAAACAATAAGAAAGAAAGCATGAATGGATGAAAAAAGAAAGGAAAGAAAGAAGGAAGCAAACAAAAAGCATTAGTATTAAACAAAAAGAAAGAAAGAAAGCTGAAAAAAAGTATTAGACGGATAGAAAGTACGTCAGTGGGACAGAAAGAAAGAAAGGAAAGAAAGAAGGAAGCAAACAAAAAGCATTAGTATTAAACAAAAAGAAAGAAAGAAAGCTGAAAAAAAGTATTAGACGGATAGAAAGTACGTCAGTGGGACAGAAAAAAAATTAAAAAAAGAAAAAAAAGAAAGAAAGAAATAAAACTTTGAAAAATAAAGAAAAAAAAAAAAGCATTACTAATGAAGAGGAAAACCAAAAAGAAAATGTATTGATAAGGACGGAAAAGAAGGAAAAGAAAGAAAGAAAGAAAGAAAGAAAGAAAGAAAGAAAAAAGAAAGAAAGAAAGAAAAATGAAAGAAAGAAAGAAAGAAAGAAAGAAAGAAATATGCATTATTAATGAAGGGGAAAAGAAAAGAAAATATATTGATAAGGAAGGACCAAGAAGGAAAGTGTATTTATAAGGAAGCGGCGAATAAAGAAAGAAAGAAAGAAAGAAAGAAAGAACGAAAAGAAAGAAAAAAATGAAAGAAAGAAAAATATATAGACCAGCATAAACTAAAATGAAAGAATACAATAAATACATGAAAAAAACAAACGTAATGAGAAGAAAGGTAAAAAGAAAGACGATTGAAAGAATTTAAATGAAGAAAGAAAGATAGAATTTAGTTTTAGAAGTAGGTTTGGAAGAAAAAGAATTATAAAGAGAAGAAAGAATGCAAGAAAAGAGGCGGAAGGTAGAAATAAGGACAACAATGATGGGAATACGAAGTAAGAGGAAGAAGATTGAAAGAAGAAGAAGAAGAAAAAGAAGGAGGAAGAAGAAAATATTGAAAGAAAAAGAAGTGGTAGTAGGAGGAAAAAGACTGAAAGAAGAAGAAGTGGGAGGAGTTAAAATATTGAAAGAAGAAGAAGTGGGAGGAAGAAAATAGAAAGAAGAAGAAGTCGGGGGAAGAAGAAGAAGATTAAAAGAAGGAGAAAGATGAGGAGGAGGAGGAGGAGGCGGAGGAGGAAGATCGAAAGAAGAAGAAGAATTAGGGAGAATAAGGTTGAAGAAGAGAAAGAAGTAAATGGAAAGAGAACGAAAGAAAAAGAAAAAAGTAGGAGGAAAAGATTGAAATAAGAAGTAGGGCGAAGAAGATTGAAAGAAGAAGAAGAAAAAGGAGGAACGAGAAGACTGAACGAAGAAGAAAAAGAAGAAGAAGAAGAAGAAGAAGAAGAAGAAGAAGAATAAAGAAGAAGAAGAAGAAGTGGAAATATTGAAAGAAGACAAAGTAAGGGGAAAAAGATTGAGATAAAAAGAATTAGGAGGAAGAAGATTGAATGAAGAAGAAGAAATAGTGGGAAGACGATTGAAACAGGAAGAAGAAAAAGGAGGAATAAGGAGATTGAAAGAAGAAAAAGTAAAAGGAATAAGATTGAAAGAAGAAGTCAGAGGAAGAAAATTGAAAGAAGAAAAAGTAGGAGGAAGAACATTGAAAGAAGAAGAAAAAAGTAGGAGGGAAAAGATTGAAATAAAAAAAGAAGAAGAAGAAACGAAGCCGCTGGAAAGATAGAGAATGAAAAGGGAAGAAAATGAAAACATTAAAGAAAAATAGTGTGGAAATAGAAAGGAGAAAGTCAATAGAAAAGCTGTGAATGAAAAAAAAAAAAAGAAAAGAGAAATGGTGTGGAGTGATAGAGGAAAGAAAGAAATGAAAAAGAAATGGCGAAATACATTTGCGATAAAAGACAGAAAAAATCTCGATGATTGTCTTCTATTTAAATTTCGCCCTAAGGAAAAAAATTAAAATCTGTTCGGTGACACTGCGCCCGTAACCCCACTGCTGGACTAGGCGCATTAGCCCCAAGCGCAGTCTCCACCTCAGCTTTCAGGAGGGTTCATCGACAGGTTGTTGAGACGCTGCGGGCAGAGGACACCTATTTTATCTCTAATATAGTAATTGAATGAGAAAAAAGAAAAGAAATGGGAAATGGGTTGGGAGAAAGCTCTCGGAGTTTGTTCCAGTGGGGGGTGGGGATTCGGAAATAGAAGTGAACAAAATGGTGAACAAAATTATTTAACAAACAAACCTCGAAAAGAAAAAAAAGGAAATTTGATTATTTATTTAATCCCCATAATAGGAAAATACGAATAAAGGGCAATATAAGTAAAGGATGAAAAGAAACAGGATAATGACGGAAGACAAGGATAGAAAGGGAGAGAAAATGAAGAAAACAAAGGACTTTAGAAGATTTCAAAAGAAGAAGAACAACAACAAGAACAAGAAGAACAAGGAGGGGGAAACGAAGCAGTTTAAAACAGGGAGATATATATAATAAGAAGAATATAAGAAGAAGAAGAAGAAGAAGAAGAAGAAGAAGAAGAAGAAGCTGGAAAGAAAGGGAAGGAAGATGGGGAGAAAATGAAAGCTCTACAGAAAGATTAGTGTGGAAAAAGAAAGGAGAAGATGATAGAAAGGAGAAAGTAGACTGAAAGAAAGAGAAAAAGTACTGAAGAATATGACAGAAAGAAAGACAAAAGGAAAGGGAGTAAAAGGAAAGAAAGGGAAAAGAAAAGTATTGAAGAAGAAGAAGAAGAAGAAGAAGAAAATATTTAGAAAGGAGAAAATTTATTGAAAGAAAAGGGAAAACGTATTAAAAGAATATTTGAAAATTCTTTTTTGAGGAAAGGGAAATAAAGGAAAAAAAGGAAAAAGAAAAGTATTGAAGAAGAAGAAGAAGAAGACGATAGAAAGGAGAAAGCAGATTGAAATTCAAAAAAAAACGTACTAAAGAATATGACAGAAAATGTCCAAAAGGAAAGGGAGTAAAAAATTCTTTAAAGAAAGGGAAAAGAAAAGTATTGAAGAAGAAGAAGAAGAAGAAGAAAGAAGAAGAAGAAGAAGAAAGAAGAAGAAGACGATAGAAAGGAGAAAGCAGATTGAAAGAAAGAGAAAACGTACTAAAGAATATGACAGAAAGAAAGACAAAAGGAAAGGGAGTAAAAGGAAAAAAAGGGAAAAGAAAATGTATTGAAGAAGAAGAAGAAGAAGAAGAAAACGATTCAGAAACAGAAGATGAAGAAGAAGAAGAACGAGAGGAGGTATTGATGGAATTGTCTGTCTCAGTCTCTTTCCATTTCTTTGTTCGACTTTTTTTCACATCAGTATTCGAATAATTTTCTTTTTTTTTTTTTTTTTTTTACTTCGAATTGATATTTTTATCGTTTGGTACAAATGGTAAAAAAAGAAACTTGTTAGCATCTAATTATCATTTGTCACAAGGTGACTCCTTGCCTTCCTTTCTAGAATTGGTGTATTGTCAAAGTTTTTGTTATTATTATTATGATTAAGGTGAATTCAAAATGGGGACATTTTTTTTTTTTGTTTTCTGACGGGGTGAAATCTTATTAGAAATCAACACGAAAATGTTTTACCGTTTCCAGTGATAAAAACAGAGCAAAAAATATATTCATGTTCGTAAATTAATCATATGCTAAATAGAGACAATATTTTCTTTAGTGCAAAAGATGTAAACATTTCAGATAGTGGAATCGACGATACGAGTTCAAATTCCGGTCTGGTCTGTTGCGTTTGCATTTTCGATCACCAGTTTGTGGACACATTGCCGATGTTGGATTTATAAATGTTTTTTTCTAGTGTTTTATTGCCTTTAAAGAACTCAAAAAGGAATTATAATTCCTAAAGAACTTTAGGATGCAAGCAAAGGAATTCTAACTACCACAAACACAATATACTGGTTCTTGATAATGACTGCAAAAGTCGAAAGTACTAGAACAAAAATAACAAAATACATACGTCTGACAGTTTATCCACAACTTCGAGGACACATGAAAATTGTAAATAATATAATAAAAAATTAAACAAACAAAAATCGGTTTGTTTTAATCAAATTTGATTAGATTAATACTTGGTGCCTAAATATAGCTTATATATATATATATATATATATATATATATATATATATATATATATATATATATATATATATATATATATATATATATATATATATATATATATATATATATATTTAGGTATATATATATATATATATACATATATATATATATATATGTGTGTGTGTGTGTGTGTGTGTGTGTCTTGTCAGCTGTTAATATACCACATAGCACACTTGAGCGCTTAGTCTTGTAGCGAGTAGAATAGAGATCAACGTGTTTTTGTGGACTCAGCAGTTTGCAATCTGCTTGTCTGAATCATCTTCAAGAAGCAAGAGCAAGATCTAAAAGGTCAGCCAATCTAACAGTGATCTCATCTCACAATCCTCACTCTTGCTCCATATGTTGCCTCCTTTGTAAATCAGTAGCGGGGTCTTAAGTGCCACTTAAGATTATCGCACAAAATTTCATAACTGAATCAATTAAGCTGTCAGATTCTCATACGTCGAAACCGACAGGAGAGTCCTTTTATATATATATATATATATATATATATATATATATATATATATATATATAAAAATGAGATCGAATAGAGTACAATTCCAGTGCTCGTAACATTTAATTTAAAAGCGGGCTCACTTCAAAGTAGACCAATATTCTTTATTTTTATTTATATTTATTATATCAAAAACATGTACAAAAATGCTACACAATTGCAGTCGTGTTTCGATGCGAATCAACGCATCTCATCAGGCGTTAGTAAATAACTGGTAAGTAGACAATTTATTGAGATTTAAAAGCAAGATATACCCTCTTTTCAGGAGAAAAGAAAGAAAAAATAAAAGAGTTTATAAAGAAATGAATGGAGATAGTTTTATTTTACTCAGATCCACCAATCGAATTGACCTACGCTAAGTTTAAAGTAAGGGAAGAATCAAAAGTTAAGACGCGGCCCTAGTTAAAGGATCATGACCCGCAGATTTAGAATCATACACGGTACCCGAACGCTGCATACTAGCGGATGTAAATGGCAAACAATATTGTCCACTAGACAATGTCATTTTCACGGAAAGACGAAACCTAATTTAGTAAAATACTCGACAGATTACATTCCCTGTGAGTTTAAAAAAAACTCTTTTATACTTAGTAAATAAACAGGCTCTTTAAGATACCAAGGAATTATTTAAATATGTAGAACTAAGTAAAATAAAGTGCAACTGTTAGCTGAAGGTTCTATATATAGGATGTTAATAACAATAACCAATCAATGCAAAATCTCAAATTGTAAGCCAAACGCCAGTACATCTGTACCAAATGTTACCTACACTACTAGAAGATTAATACAAAATTATATTAAATCGAATTTGAACTTACCGACAGAAATATAAGCCATAAGATGGGGTAACACAGTTCAACTAAAATCTAAGAAAAAGAAATTTTCAAATTTCAAAGTTTTGCAGGATTGTAGGGTAAAAGGTAGAGTATGTTTACAATTAACCGTTAATTCAAACCTTTGATTTAAAAAAGCATCCTTATCGAAGAACCTGATAATCTGCATTTTTTTCTGTAAACACAGAAAACAAGGTTAATATAAGGATCTACATAACCTTGCCAGTTTTGAACTTTTCCAATTCACTTTAGGAATTTTATTTTCATCTTTCAACCTCAAAAAAAAAAAAAAAAATCGAAAGTGATGTATTATTTCTATAAGTATTATTAGTAAAAGATGATACGTGTTGATACCACCGGTTTTGAAAGAATTCTTAGTACTACCAATACAGAACTTTTCGATCTTCGGATTTTCCATTGTAGAGATAGAACAAAGATAAACAAAAGATTCAGTTAAACATTTGTTTGACTATGGGCATTGGTTAGGATTCCTACAATTACATTAGCCAGTATCCTTAACAATATTTTCATTGGAACTTGTATTATATTTCAGGCTATAAAATTGGTTTAGTGTGTAACTTTGTTATTTCTTTTGAGATTATTGGTGCAACTATAACTTAGTCAATGTATTTCTGTTAAATATTTTACTAAGAGGGTTGCTTTTCGGAAAATTTTTATCGGTCAATTTGAGAAACTTATGGCCTAACTTAGTACTTACTAATTGATTAAATGGAAGTGTATACCAGATGATCCTCCTATTCATATTTCTTTTCTTTGAATCACAGTCATATTTTTCCAATTGAATTTCGGCACACTTATAACCACTATTCTTTAGAACTTTTTGGACACACTGCTATGTTTATCAATTTTATCATTCGATTTGTTGATCTGAATAAAACCAAACAAATCGAGCAACCATCTCCCCCTCCCTTTCTTACTCTTTTTCTTTCTTTTCTCATGAAATGAGGGTGTATCTTGCTTTTAAATCTCAATTACCAGTTATTTACTAACGCCTTGATTCGCATCGAAACACAACTGCAACTGTGTAGCATTTTTGGCATGATTTTGATATATATATATATATATATATATATATATATATATATATATATATTGGTAAAAGACAATAGGAAAACTGTATTATTAGCCGACACAACAATAAAAAGAACATTTCTACACGTGAAAGTAATTGACGTCATTTACAGTTGACAATATGAATAGAATAACTTTTTCTAAATTCTTGTAGTTTGTAAGGACATTTTCTTGGTTGTCAATAGTTACTTTGTTTTCAAAAAATTCATTTCATTTTTGCCTTGAAAAAGTCCACATAGGACGAAACGCGTCGGTTAATAAGACAGTTTTCTTACTGTCTTTTGCCTTTATATATATTCTCTTTTCTACAGGTTAACTCTGAGGATTTATATATATATATATATATATATATATATATATATATATATATATATATATATATATATATATATATATATTCTTCAGCTTCGTACCACAACTAAACTTCGCTTACAAAAATATCTTTTTTAACATATATATATATATATATATATATATATATATATATATATATAGAGAGAGAGAGAGAGAGAGATAGATATATAGAGATAGATATATATATAGATTTTATAAAAGTTATTTTAATAGCTGCACGTGCTGGAGTTGACATCTCTGATATTTTGAAGAGTGAAATTAATGTGTGCCCTCCTAAAGATCGAGAAATCTTTACCTAGAAAAAGTATGCCTTTCAACAAGGATTGAAACTGTATTGCCTTTTTATTTCCCATCGGTACTTTATATATATAGTTATTCTGTCGGGCTTAAATCCATACCAAAGTTAGAATGGGACATACTCCCTCGTCCGTCATATTCACCAAAATTATCAAATGTTAACCCAGCATCATGTTTGGTAAAAGAAAATCTTAAAATATTATCATCTTCGACAGTCAAATTCAAAGGAAATATTTTGATGACAAATAAATATATCTGCTGCTTGTCGTTATTAACTTTGTAAAAATCAATACATTTTTGCATATATATATATATATATATATATATATATATATATATATATATAGTTGAAAAGAGAAAATATCTGTGTGTGACTAGAAATAGATTCCTTTCGTCTCGTAAGAATACAAATCTATTTGCTGCACTTTTTATTACGCAATATTTCTTTTGTTCAAATCAATTAATATGATTGATTTCTTTTGTTGGCTGGTGGAAAGCCACCTCTTTCTACTCCTCCGCACCATCGACTGAAATGTGAAACTAGAAAGTAAGAAAGGAAACACCTTAAGCAATACAAATATATATTTTTCCTTTACGTTTTGAATAAAATACATCATTCATAAATGTTTGATATCCCGTTCAAAGCGATGATGCATGTTCTTCAGACCTCGTTCCTCTGTATAAAGTGGGACGACTAAAAACAGATCATCTAACATATTTTTTGATTTGGACCTTAAAAAGAACGCCACAAATATGTGTTTAATGAATACGTCGAAATAAACAAGGAAAGCAGAGACATTATATTAAATGAAGGAATCGGAAATAAATGGTCAAGTGCCCCTTTTATTTACCTTGAGTTCTTTCATATAAACCAAAGAAAAATCAGCAAGATTATTGGTCCTGATCTGGCAGCTTGGCTACAGTCACTTTCCCATCGCCATAATGCTGTTTCTTTGTGTCTTTTATATAAATACTTTCATGGTTACAGTTTCTTTTCTGGCATTTCTAGCCTGTGGAACTCCCTTCTAGTTCAATGCTTTCCAGCCAACTTTAATCTGCAAAAAATCAAATGCAATGCCACTCGCTATCTACTGTC